CCCGGGTTGCGGCGGCGACTGCCTCTCCGCGCGGTGGGAAGGAGCCTCAGCTGCCCCCCGCGCGCAGGTGGAGGGCGGACGTGCCAGTGTGGGTTAAGTTTGAGTCCCTTCGTAAAGGAAAGGAAGTTTGATGTCTCAGAGGATAGCCCACGCACCAACTCTCAGCTGCAATCCACGGTCCTGCAACTGAGGCCAGAAATCTTCGCAACACCGGTTTCCTCCCAGAGCATCTAGATTCTAGGGCCTCCGCTGCAGCTCCCAAGGAGTCGCAGAACTGAATGTATGGGCTGCACACAGTGTCGAAGGCACGCTCTCCCTCGGCCTTTCCTTGATAGTATCTTTGGGGAAGTAAAAGAGTTCACGCGTTGAAACACATTTCTTGGGCGGTTGTGATTGTGTGGCCTGGCCGTGTAGTTCGGTATTGCTACGTTTGGACAGAAAATAATTTCCCTTTCCGCAAGCGAACCGGCTCCCCACATTGAAGTAAACGTTTCTCAGAGCGACTCGGTAATAACTGCTTCTGTGTGTAGGTCGTTGAAATGCAGTTACTACTGTTAACCTAGAGAACCCAAACAAAAAGGCTGGGAGATTGCAGAGACCCACTTAATTTTGCTGGGTTCTTATCTCATAGAGTTGACTACCTGACCGAGGCGTCTGCGTGCCCTCGTTTTGCCCTAGCAACGATGTGACTACCAAGAGGTGGTCGGAATGGAGGAGCGGTTTGTTTTGTTTTCTTTTCTCCTTCACTTTTAGGTCGCAGGCATTTTAGATAACTCAGCAGCCAGTCTGGTGAAGGGAAGCGGCTCCCTCCTCCTCCCCAGTAGAGCTGGGCGTCTGAGAAATCAGATTCAGGCTGGCCAGTGTCCTTTCCTAGTCTTGTCATCTCAGCAGTTAATCCGCACGGCGTTGGCCCCGGGCATTTCCTTATGTGATTCGGCTTTTACATAGCTTTATTTGCTTTACAGTCACTGCTCCTGGCCAGAAGCGTCAGCTTTGATATGACCATTCTTGGGGTACAGAATCCTCAGTTCCCAGGTGTCATTCTTTTACAAGAAAAAGGGGCAAAAATGACCAGTTAAAGCCACAAGATAAAGTTAACCCTTTCCTTTAGAAAATTGTTTTGAATATTGTGTCCCCAGTAATTATAATAAGCAAAAGTCAGTTATATTCTCATTCGCTATATCCCTTGAAGGTCAATAAAATACTTTGGGGGAGGAGAAGGTGTTCATTTTATATTTTCAACTTTTCTTTATGTTCCAAAACACCTCCTCTCCCCAAGTGAAATCAGTAAAAGAACTTACCTTGTAAGATTATGTGACATTCTTTGGTGTACTGCACAAATAAAATAGGCAGAAATGACAAACACATCTTAAATGTTTGATAATACATAGATTCTCTTTGGCTTGGGGATAGAAACGATTAGAAAAAAATAACTAATGATCTGATGCTGAAACAACAAAGAAATCTTTCTGAAGTGCAAAGTCTAAAGTCATCTGGAGTGTGAGCTTCCTGTTTAATCATGAAAGCATACTCCTGTCAGCTGTGGAGCATGTACATTATTCTGTCAAGAGAGCAGTCAAGACTTGGGATCAAATGGAATAATTTTGTCAAAGAAACATGAATCAAAAATCCTGGTCCATAATTACTTTTTATAACCTGATGGTGTTTACCTTGCTTTACAAATAGGTTGAAGATTGGTGAGTGATTCAAATGTAATAGCAACTTTATAATGCTGTTATGTTGGATAGATGCCATTTAAATAAATAATAATTTAAACAGGTTTTTGTTGAAAGTAATCATTTTGCAACAGGCTTGGCCTCTTTTAGTGTCACAAAAGCATGCCACAATTATTTTGATGGCCATTGTGTAACACAGATGTCTGCTGAAGTTAACCACGTTATCTGTAACTACCATGCTACCATAAAATGCATGTGTTAAGCACCTATCTACTTGTGGTAGGTACTAAATTAAACACATATGCATGTTTGTGTTTAATATATGAATAATGACCATTCTTGGTGTACAGAATACTCAATTCCCAGGTATCATTCTTTTACAAGAAAAAGGGGCAAAAATGACCAGCTTCCTGAATGTAGAAGGTTTTCAAATATTGAATGAATATATGTATAGTTTGTATATTATTATCCTGTACATACCTGGCATTTTTAAACTCTTACTTTAGTTCATAAATGAAATAGTCAACAATTACTTCAAAGTTAATAGTATAATAGTTGCTGTTATAGTGGTCTCCTGCTATAGTACAATTGATAATTTTGATTATCCCTAATTAAAGTCAAAGTTAAGCATATGTCAATTAGCCTATTTTCCCCCTAAAATTAATAGAAAAATCTTTTTATTTTTCAAAAGTATCTTATATAATAAAGCCTAATATGCTAAGTGTCCGACTGTTCGTTCAACCGGTCGCTATGACACACACTGACCACCAGGGGGCAGACACTCTGACTTGTAGGTTAGCTTGCTGCTGGGGTCCAGCCAATCGGGACTGGGTGAGATGGCCAGACATGCCCTGGAGCCCTCCCATGGTCCCTCCCTGGCCCCGATCGTGCACTGGTGGGGTCCCTTGGCCTGGCCTGCGCCCTCTTGCAATGCGGGACCCCTTGGGGGATGTTGGAGAGCCAGTTTCAGCCCATCCCCACAGGCCAGTGCACCTGGCCTCTAGTTTCCTAATAATTATTTTGAGATGACCCTTTTGTCCATTCTATCTCAAATGAAATGAAGACAGCTAATTTTGCATTAAAATTATATTCACATATTTCATCCCTTAATGAAAGGAGTTTTACTGATTCCTGATAGTTACTTAAGAATTTGTTTGTATTACTCTTATAATAATTCCTTGTGAGTTAAAAAGGATTAACTTAAGTAGGAGTATGAGAAAAGCTTTATAAAACTTCTTTTTCCTTGTGTACCATTTTGAAAAACACTCTTTGGATTTAAGTGCCAAATTACAAAGTTGGTTATGAAGTGATTTTCTGCAATTTAGATCAAAGATCTCATCGACTTTAGGAAAAAATCGATGTTTGTTCCCATGGAAAGCAATTCAGTTTGAAGACAATAGTTACACACCTTATATGTTAAGAATTTAAATGGGAAATGTTTTCTTTTTTTTTTAATTAAAAAATAATCAGCCCTTGCCCTAGGCAGTTTGGCTCAGTGGATAGAGCGCCGGTCCATGGACCAAAGGGTCCCAGGTTCAATTCCTGTCAAGGGCAGGTATCCTGGTTGCACGCTCCTCCCTGGCGTGGGCCCTGGTTGGGGCTCATGCAGGAGGCAACCAATTGATGTTTCTCTCTGTCTTTCCCGCTCTCTTCTACTCTCCCTAAAAATCAATGGAAAAAATATCCTCGGGTGAGGATTAACAAAAAACAAAACAAAAAATAATCAGCCCATTCTTGGCTCAGTGGTTGAGTGTTGACCTAATAACCAGGAAGTCATGGTTTGATTTCGGTCAGGAACATGCCCAGGTTGTGGGCTCGATCCCCAGTAGGGGGCATGCAGGAGGCAGCCAATTAATGATTCTCATCATTGATGTTTCTATCTCTCTCTCCCTTCCTCTCTTCCAATAAAAAAATATATATTTTAAAACAAATCAAATTTCTAGTTATAAAAACAGTTATGGAGATGCAAAGTACAGCATAGGGAATACAGTCAATAATACTGTAATAATTGTATATGGTGTCAGATGGGTACAAGACTTATTGGGGTGATTACTTCGTACGTTATATAAATGTCTAATCACTATGTTGTACACATGAGGTTAATATAATATGATGTGTCACCTGTAATTGAAAAATTTAAAAATCAGAAAAATAAAACATATCTTTATATTCATACTAATGTTATGTAGAAACTTGCCTTCTTAACTTGCTTTAGAGGTAATCTCACCTTGAAAACAGTAAGTCTTTTTCATGCAATTTGTAGTTTGAGTCCTATCCAAGATTTAAAAACCCAGGTTTATATAAACTGGAAGCTATTGGTTGTGTGTTGAACCCACAATAGCTTCTAGCCATTTGTTCTCTGCTGCTATCTCTGTTGTTTATTCAAGTTAAGAATTTCTGCTGTGGTTGGTCTCTTGGTTTTTTGAGCAATGTTTGTTCAGGGAAACTTTTGTTATGTCCTTCTAGTTCTTTGTCCTGGTGGAGGTAGAGATCTTTCTTTCTGTTCTCTTTAGGAGCAAAACTTTATGTGGCTCAGACTACCTTTATAGGTTGTCATTTGAATAGCAAAGGTTTTCAGGGGGGGAAAATCACAAGGTTTGGTTATAAATTTAGTTTTGAAAATTGCTGGTGCAATTAGTATTTTCATTTTAGCAAAATTTTAGTCCTCTGAGTAGTAATATAATAACCACTGAAGTGCTCATTTACCCCCTCAGAGTATTTGACTAAATGAAACCAATATAATAGCAAGATGGAAATTCCGTTAACTTTTTTAAGGCTTTATTGAGATACTAGAGGCCGGTGCACGAAATTTGTGT